AGATTAATGTATCAGCGCTTATATTATTGTATCCGTTTGAGTGATTTCTGTAATTATAAACTTTTAAGGGATAAATTATAATTTTGCCTTAAAAGTATGTTATTTCTGTAATTTGCTCTTTATTATTTAGTATTATATCTGATCCATTAGTAAAATTCGACCCAACTAATGTGAAAATCCATCAGCCCTAATTTCATTACCCATTAGCCCTAATTTTACACCCATCATCTTGGTCACATTAGATGAACGCTTCATATAGTGAGAAAAGGCATTCATATCTTGATTGAGAGAGAGATCCAACAATATGTAAGATTTCTATTCTTAAATCATCTCTTTACCTTTTCTGTATGGAATTTGTTTCTGGAATCTTTCCAAAATCTGCAAAAAAATCTCAAAATCGGTATATATCTTCTTTTATTGCAATTAGGGTTCGTCGATTTTATCATTTATAAACTTGATAACTGTGGAGTTTGATATTTCATCTATTTTTATGTTCGTGCGTATTCTATCTTTTCACTCTATGGTAGAAATTAGGGTTGTCAATTTCAGATATTTATGGGTATTTCGATAACAGTTAGTTTTTTCCTTTTTGGTTTAGGATTTGATGTTTACTAGTTTAGATCTCATTGAATATAAATTTAAACGAAATTGCTGGCTGTGTATGGGTATCCATTTGTTTTTAATATAATTTTTGTCCCCTAACTGAATGACACAATGTGAATATTATAATGTTAGTGAGACTTTTTCCCTTTTCAAGGTTTATGGTCCTTGAATGTGAATATTATAATGTGTCACGTGTTTTAAACTCAAACTTAGAGTCTTTCAAGAAACATTCATATATGAAGTTTATCCAGAGTCAAGACAAGCACTACATGATATTTACATACACATAGTAACATTATCAAGAGATTGTTACTTTAAAATCCAATCAAAACTACCATCTGGAAGTAATTTTACTACCATCTCAACAGTCACAATCACCCAAAGATTAGCTTATAACAATAAAATATAATTCAAAAGTATAACAACTATAGCTAAAGAAGGTCTAATTGTCCAAAGTAATTATTTTTTGTTTGGATGTCAGCTTTCTGTGTGGAAGCAATTTTACTAACTAATAAAACAATTAATAACTAGAGCAAATAAAGATCAGTGATGACACATCAATTTTTTTTCTATATGTATTTTACTATTTTTCCAACGTCACTTTTTATCTAGTTAGAGCAACAATACTAGATAACAAATAGCAATGAAAAAGAGATTTAAATAGGTCGTGGGAGTAATATACAGGACTTTTGTCTAACTTGCTTTTGAAATGTAGCTATTCTATTTTTTTTGAAATCAAAAGAAATGTGTGTTAGTTCACAGTAAGTAATGAATGATCTCATATGTTGATGATCATCGCTATACTTGTGAAGAAATATTTTTTTTACAAATAAATAAGAAAGGGCCAGGGGGAAATTTTGGAAATGGCCAACCTCCATTTCTCTTGGTAATCGAGATGGGAAGAAAGGAAGATAAGAAGATAAAACAATACACAATTATGCTTATGTTTACTCCATTGTGAATGCTTTTGCTGCAGCCTTCCTTTCAAATTCTTCAGTAGCCATCTACAATACTACAAGAAGACAATTACTATTTGAAAATCAGTATACACAATTTGTTTACTTAATACACAATACTAACAATAATATATTGGTTTACTGTTGCTAATCACATGTCTCTCTTTTGGTTGTCTTGTAGAATATTAAAGATGACCTTGGTGGACATAATCTTCAATTATGGTGGAGAATGGATTAAAAAACCAAATGTCATGTATTTAAAGAAAATAATTGATACTTGGACAGATTATGATCCTGACCTCCTTTCCTTTATTGATATAGTAAATGAGTACACTAGAAAGTTTGGATATTTAGGTGTTCAACAACTTATTGTTACAGTTCCCTCTGGTAACTACTATGAGATTAAGGCCCTTAACATATATGCAGTAGATGAAGGTGAGGAATTAATAAAAGTTCATAATATTTCCCAACATTCTGAGTCATATGTTGCAACAACTGAAGTTGGAACTGACTGTGAAAGTGATAATGAGAGTGATGATAATCATATGTTGAGGTAGAGTATGATTCTGATGACTTGAATAGGATTGCCTTTCAAAAATATAGGATCATTGATGAAACGCTGCTAGATTACAAGGACTTATGCATAGGTATGAGCTTCAAGGATATACCCGCAGCTAGATTATGCATTAACTTGTATGCTCTTGTAAACAAAAGAAACTTGAAGCAGTTGAAAAGTGATCCATCAAGGTTGAGGTATGAGCTAGTGTGTTGCAGGATGTCATTTTTCATTACTTATTTCTGGAGATAAAGACATGCCAGGGGTTAGAATAAAAACCCTGAAAAATACGCATGATTGGAACGAAGCGTTTGAAAATGGAAGGGTTGATCATCTTACAATAGCGTATTATTTCAAGTCTATAGGAACAAATTGCAACCTGTTAGAAGTGAAAATTTTTGGAAGGTGGATCCACATCAAGCAATAGAACCACCTGAATTAGTGAAGGTGGTTGGCAGACCCAAAATTAAAAGAGTCAGAAAAAAAGACGAGGCAAGTAAGAGGCAAGGCGAGAGGGCAAGTTCAAGAAAAGGAAGAGTTATGACATGCAACAATTGCGGAGAGTCAAACCACAATAGTAAAGGATGTAAAAAGGTAAAATATCTTCAATGCTAATAGAATCTTTATTTTCCCCTGAAATTTGATTTCTAACTTGTATTTCTTACTTACAATAGCTTGTCAATACAAGGCCAAGGAAAAGGAGCAGGGAATTAATTGATGAACCTGAAGAGATAAACCTTACAGCACCCCAATCAACCCAAGCAAGCCCAATTGTGAACTTCATGTCTACACCAATATTCAGGCAGCATGCACCACAATTTTCAGGTCCAAGACCGCATTCCAAATGATACGCCAGATTTTGAGTTAGCTGAAACTTCAAAGCAAAGATCAAGCAAGCCAGATGCTACTACATTGCAACATACCGTTCATCCAGTTTTGACAATCAACTTTCCAAATCATGATCCAGATCCTAATATAAGGCCAACGATAGTGTCAGAAAGCACAATATTCCGAGCTAGGCAACAAGGACCAATTCCTTCAGGAACAAGGATTATTAACTTTGTTGGTGATCACAATGGAGTGAGTGTCCCTTCAAATCTTCCCGAAGTAGCTATTCTAATTGTCTTGTATTAGCTAGATAGTTTACATGAATGTAGTATTTTGACGTTGGAACATATAAGCTGTAATCCTTTAGATTTAGAAGTCTATTTTGAACTCTAAATTATATTCCTTCAACTTTGTTTGATGTAGTCATTCAGCTGATGGATAGTCAAACCTCTCTCTAGAAGGCAACTATTCTTTCTGTTTGCATGTCTTTTATTGTTTTCATGGCTGTGACGGTCTCTGCACTCTTATCAGGCTACAAGCTATGCTAAAGGATCATATGGTGATGATCTGGGAATTGAACCTGCAGCCTTCAACTCCAGAATTGATGTGACTTATAATTATACGTTACGATTCACGGAGTGCAATAAGCTTTCATGTAATAGCTAGTAAAGTTTCCCATAATCACATTATCATGTATTGTACATTCGGCACAAGACACGTCTTGCTAGTAATGCTGAAGTTTAACGTTCAATATAAATGAATTACACTAATTTACTTCCTTTTTTTTTGGTACTGGTGGTCTTACGACTATCTTTTGCGCATCATGAATTATTCCACCGGGTACCTACTACCTTCTACAAGTCACCAACACATGTACTAGATAACTTCATACACTCTTCAAGACTTAGGCAGATGTGAAGAAATAACCTAGTGCTTTTCGTGTCTGCTGGAATTTGAACTTTTCTCTCCATATCTGCTCCTATTAGTTTTGTAATGCAAGAAGAGTAGCCATTTCCAACATTAAGAAATCTTTTGACTGTTCTACAATTCTATTTTTCATATTAAGTATAAAGAATGTAGCAGGCTGAAGTACTCAAAAAGAGAACATGCTTTCCATCCTTCAATATGCAAAAAAATACATTATCAATGAGAACTTACATGTTGAGGAAGCTCAGAATATCATCAATTTCTTTTATTCTCTTCCAAGTAGCAAGAAATACTCGCTTGATTTATTAACTTCATCAAAATTCAAACTTCTCATTCTCTCTTACTCGGTAACTATAGAAGTAAAATTAAAGCGACAAACAAGAAACCCGACCAATTAGCTGAATCAGGACATGAATGGCTCTTCTCTCTGTATCGAAGCCTTCAATCTAAGTTGTCTTTCTATTTTTTTCTGTTGGCGCTAATCGGCATGCTTATTTCCACACAAACACTGTTTAATAGAATTATGCAAAACCCCAAACAGATGACCAAATGTGTTATGCTATGGAGTAATGATAACCAGTGGCGGATCCAGGATTTAAGATCAAGGGGTTTGAAATTTAAAGAAGAAGCTCATGTGGTAATGTAAGTGCGTGGTGAGCGTAGTAACCCCGACATGCTTTTTGTACAAGGTATCTAGCTCATTGGTCGCAAAAGTTAGCATCAAACTAATCAAAGATATTGAGAACAAAGCTACGCTGATAAAAAATAATTAGTGGATCAGTTGTATTACATAAGTTAATTCTTAAAACACGTGAAAATTAAAGAATGAAAAAGGAAGCGAGACGGAGAAGAAAAATATTTACCTTAACCCACTAAATTTATATTATCTTATCGTACCGCATTAAGCATTTCTTCCTACGTTTACCCTGCTCCATTGAACATTCTTAAAAAATTTCTTGTACTTTTTATACTTTTATTTTGTAATGTTTTACTTTATTTTGCATTTTAAATTTTTTTAAATTAGTATCCATTCAAACACATATTACTAAGAAAATTATCAAGATTCTCTAAAAATGTGTAAGTATAGATTTACTAATATTATAATGCACAGAAGATAAATAAATGGCATCGTCAATATTTTTTAGTTCATGTAGTTTAATTTACTAGGTTAGTCATCAGTTGTTGAAAAAAATGACGAATAAATCAAATAAGTTTAGTTTTCATCTCTCTAAAATAGAATTGAAAAAATAGAAAAGAAATTCCATGAATTCTATTAAATATATATTATTACAAGGATATTGACGATGTTTAGTTTCTTTATTCAATTGCATCTAATTTATCTATATATATATATATATAATTATTAAAGAGTTGTACATAAAAGTATGTTGAAATAAAATGACTGATAGGTATAAGAAGAATAAAAAAAAATGTGTGTAATAAATTTAAACAAAAATAAATTTTAAAAAATGACATAAAAGAGTAAAATAATGAAAAAGAGAAGATTATCCAAGCCCAAAAGTTGAGCCCAATTCCATGCATTAAAAAGGGTAAAAAAAAAAAAGGAAGATTAATTGTTGTGCATGGGATTCGAACCCATGACGTGAAAGCCACTGCTGAACGCCTGAACCCCTGAACCATTGAGCTAAAGCTTCTCACTTAATTTTAGTGGGTTCATTTTAATATATATGTACACATAAAATCAGAATTTGACACTATATATAGTGTAATTTTTTGAACCAGGGGGTTCGGGTGAACCCATGGACACAAGCTAGATCCGCCCCTGCTGAGTGATAACACATATGCCATACATCGGCATGTTCTATTGTCTGCGTCCAAGTGACTAGTATTAGCTACTGATAATTAAAAAATCACAAAAGACACCATTTACTCCTTCTTCCTTATGCCATAAGACATGTTGCAGATTTAGCGGCCACTGAGGTGATCTTGTCAAAATGACCTTTCATGTATTTGTGCTTGTGGACGCTTTGGTAAAACTTTTGCTTCTCAACGATCTTTTCTCTGAGATGTTATAAACGACGAAGAGAAAGTTGAAGATCGTTGTCTGTATTATCTATGTTTTAATGGGTAAAGTGATTTGAGAGAATGATTATGGGAATCGGGTTAATGGGTCTTCACATTGGTTGGGTTAGGTTTTACTAAATGAGTCAAATATAATACAAAATAGAAAATAATTTTTTTATTATAATAAAAGTATGTACACATGGAGCCGTGTAGGTGCCACATAGACTAATAAAAATGGTGATATGATAAGTTAACTGTATAAGAGCAAATATGTATCCAAAGTTGAATGTAAAGGCAAATATATCAAAAAAGTATGACGAATGATAAATATGACTATTTTCTAAGAATACAAGGGTAAATATGACCCTTTTCCATTTTTTTTTTATAATGAACAAACTGAATAAAGAAGAGTCAGGAGCCAAAAGGTAAAACAATTATCAAAAATTACAAAAGGGCACATCATTTTTTTTTAAAATCAAAAGGGCAAAATCGCTCCTGACGAAGAAATTTCTCTCCGACACAATATTAACGTCGTTACTCCGTTAAAAATAAAAATCGGTTGATTATGTTCAAAACTTTTTAATTTTTTTTTTCTTCCTTACATCGCTGCAGCAGGGTGAGCGTTTTTCTTGAATTTGTTTTTTTTTTAAATAAAAAAACTAAAATTGCTGATATGGCAACGTTTTAATAAAAAAAATTAAATTAAAATCGCTGCTAGAACAAGATTTTTTTTTGAAAATCACTCCCCAACGATTTTAATAATTTTTTTTTTAAATCGCTACCTTTGCAGCGATTTTATTTTTAAAAAAATTTAAATCGCTGACAAGGCAGTGAAATTCCCCCTCTGATTTTTTTTTTTTGACATCGCTTCTGACACAACGATTTCATAAGCAAAAATTGTGACACAACGATTTTATATTTTTTTTTAATAAAATCGCTTCCTAGGGAGCGATTTTCAAGAATATTTTTTTTCTTCTTGCTATGGCAATGATTTTAATTTTTTTATTAAAATGCTGACAAGCAGCGATTTTATAAATTTTTTTTAATAAAATCGCTTCCTAGGGAGCGATTTTCAAGAATTTTTTTGAAAAGAATTTCTTGCTATAGCAGCGATTTTATTTTTTTAAAAAAATAAATTCGAGAAAAACGCTACCTCTGCAACGATTTTAATGAAAAAAAAGTTTTGAACACGGAGTAATGATGTTAATATTGTGTCAGAAAAAAATTGTTTCGTTATGAGCAATTTTCAAGAAAAATAATTTTTAAATATAATTCCCCAAAATTGGGTTATGTTTGATAAGAAAACGTAAAAGCTTGATTAAAACTTTAATTAAAATACGCCTCTCCATATCCAATTATTAGGAAAATTAAAATAAATAAATAATACCCCATAGAAGGATCTAGAAACCCTAAATAGACTAGTATATAAAGTCGCTAAAAACTTCCCATGATCCTCCTCTTGCTTTCGAGTCCCTTTGTGTTTCATCTCGCCTTTCAGTTTTCTTCTTGGTAGCAACAGCTCTTTAGATCTACAAAAAAATGTCGGACATAGAGACGTTTGCTTTCCAGGCTGAGATCAATCAGCTTCTCAGTCTTATCATCAACACTTTCTACAGCAACAAGGAGATCTTTCTCCGTGAACTCATCAGCAATTCTTCCGATGTAAGTCTCCGACGGTTGAGTTTTTCTTTTTCATTCTGTATTACTCCGATCTTCTAGTATACTGTAGTTTTATTGCTTTTTGTTATTTGAAATTTGATTATTTTAGAGCGATCTGAGCTTTTTTATTGTCTTCATAGATAGCTTAATGTGATCTATTTGATTTTGAAGTTTGATTATTAATAAGCAGCATGAGGTTTTTTCGAGTTTTTTGTATGTATTTTCTTCGTGTATAGCTTAACGTGATCTTCTAGGCTACTGTAGTGCCATTGCTCTCCATGATTTTGAAGTAATGATTATTTTAGAGCAGTTTAGTTTCTATCTGGAGGTTATTCTTATTTGTATTGTGGTTGTGGATAGCTTTAGGTGATCTTCTAAGATATATTGTAGTGCTATGGCTCTCTTTGATTGTGAATTGTGATTATATTAGAGCAGCTAATTTTTATTTTTTTTGAGGTTTTTAATGTGTATTATATTCATGGATAGCTTGATGTGATTGTCTGGGATACTGCAGTTCCATAGCGCTGTCTTTTTTATTCTGAAACTGGATCATTCAGAGCTTTGTTCTGTTTTCTCATCTTAAAACTTGGCTGATAGGAGTGAGTCTTGTCATGTATCTCCAAGGGTAATGTAAAAATTTGCCTGGTTTGTGTATTGTGACTTTCTAGATCCCTAGTCTGTGTATCATCATAGTGTTATTATATGGTTTTGTTGATGATATACCATTGTGCCATCACCCTCTGTGGCTTCGAAAAATAATTTGAGTAATTTAGAGCAGTTATATCATATCATAACAGTTCATATATCAGACAATCTTTGCATGTTTTGCTGCCCATTTGAAAGCACCTGATTCGGTGTTCTGCTTTGTCATCATAGTACTTAGCTGATAAGAGTAAGCTCTATGTAGTTTTCTACTGGTCCTATTTTTTATTAGACTAGGTAATGCAAACATTTGCTTGGTTTGTGTCTTCTAAAGTTTATTTTAGATGTTGTCTAAATGTTATATATACTATGGAGATGTTATCATGGTGTTAGTGTATGATTTTGTATACAATTGATTGAGGTTAATTAATTAAGTTGGCATATGAGGTTTAGTAATAAATACCCGCTTGTATTTGTGTTATAATTTTTTGTTGAAGAATCTTGTGATTAATTCAGCTTCTTAATACAGGGATCTGAATTTTGTTTGCCCGATCAGCTTTTTAAATCAATATGTTACTTGTTGAGGGCTTCTGTTCTGTTATCTCTATCCCATTGTATCATAGGATATAAAATGTTTGTTCTTATTTGGTGGTTAATTGTATGACATATCTGATATTTCTTTGTATTTTGGGATTATACTTTTAGGCTCTAGACAAGATCCGTTTTGAGAGTTTAACCGACAAGAGCAAGCTAGAAGCTCAACCAGAGCTCTTCATCCATATTATCCCAGACAAGACCAATAATACTCTCACTATCATTGATAGTGGTATTGGTATGACAAAGGCTGGTAAGTAGTAGGAACATATTGGAAGCTAGATGCTCAACCAGAGTTTCATCCATTTTATCTGTTCTTAATGTTGCATTTCTATTTGCTGATCTTCTTTGTTTTATTTGCAGATCTGGTGAATAACCTGGGTACAATTGCAAGGTCAGGAACCAAGGAGTTCATGGAAGCTATTGCAGCTGGTGCTGATGTTAGCATGATTGGTCAATTTGGTGTTGGTTTCTACTCTGCTTACTTGGTAGCTGAGAAGGTTATTGTGACCACAAAGCACAATGATGATGAACAGTATGTCTGGGAGTCTCAAGCCGGTGGCTCTTTCACTGTTACCAGGGATACATCTGGTGAGAACCTTGGCAGGGGTACCAAAATGGTCCTTTATCTCAAGGAGGATCAGCTTGAATACCTTGAAGAACGTAGGCTCAAGGACCTTATTAAGAAGCACTCTGAGTTCATTAGCTACCCTATCTCTCTTTGGGTTGAGAAGACCATAGAGAAGGAAATTTCTGATGATGAGGAGGAAGAGGAGAAGAAAGATGAGGAGGGAAAGGTAGAGGAGGTCGATGAGGATAAGGAGAAGGAAGAGAAGAAAAAGAAGAAGGTTAAGGAAGTTTCTAATGAGTGGTCACTGGTGAACAAGCAGAAGCCCATTTGGATGAGGAAGCCAGAAGAGATCACAAAGGAAGAGTATGCTGCTTTCTACAAGAGCTTGACTAATGATTGGGAAGAGCATCTTGCTGTGAAGCACTTCTCTGTTGAGGGCCAGTTGGAGTTCAAGGCTGTCCTTTTTGTTCCAAAAAGGGCTCCTTTTGACCTCTTTGACACAAAGAAGAAGCCCAACAATATCAAGCTGTATGTTCGCCGTGTGTTTATCATGGATAACTGTGAGGAGTTGATTCCTGAATATTTGAGCTTTGTGAAGGGTATTGTGGATTCTGAGGACCTTCCTCTCAACATCTCCAGAGAGACATTGCAGCAGAACAAGATCCTAAAGGTTATTCGCAAGAATTTGGTGAAGAAGTGTGTTGAGCTTTTCTTTGAAATTGCTGAGAACAAGGAGGACTACAATAAGTTTTACGAGGCCTTCTCTAAAAACCTCAAGCTTGGAATCCATGAGGATTCTCAGAACAGGTCAAAGTTTGCTGAACTGCTGAGGTACCATTCCACCAAGAGTGGTGATGAGATGACCAGCTTGAAAGACTATGTAACCAGAATGAAGGAGGGCCAGAATGATATTTACTACATTACTGGTGAGAGCAAGAAGGCTGTTGAGAACTCTCCCTTCCTGGAGAAACTGAAGAAGAAGGGATATGAGGTACTTTACATGGTTGATGCCATTGATGAGTACTCCATTGGTCAGCTGAAGGAATTTGAGGGCAAAAAGCTTGTTTCTGCTACCAAGGAAGGCCTCAAGCTTGATGAGAGTGAAGATGAGAAGAAAAAGCAGGAAGAATTGAAGGAAAAGTTTGAGGGACTGTGTAAGGTGATGAAGGATGTGCTAGGAGACAAAGTTGAAAAGGTTATTGTTTCTGACCGTGTTGTGGACTCTCCCTGCTGTTTGGTGACTGGTGAGTATGGCTGGACCGCTAACATGGAGAGAATCATGAAGGCACAGGCACTTAGGGACTCTAGCATGGCTGGATACATGTCTAGCAAGAAGACCATGGAGATCAACCCAGAGAACTCCATCATGGATGAGCTGAGGAAGAGGGCTGATGCAGACAAGAATGACAAGTCTGTGAAGGACTTGGTTCTCTTGCTTTTTGAGACTGCCCTTCTAACCTCAGGTTTCAGCCTTGAGGAGCCAAACACCTTTGGCAACAGAATTCACAGGATGCTGAAACTCGGTTTGAGCATTGATGAGGAAAGCGGAGATGCTGATGCCGACATGCCTGCATTTGAGGATCCTGAAGCTGACGCTGAGGGCAGCAAGATGGAGGAGGTTGATTAAGTTCATTATTAATGTTTTGATAGTTTATGGGTTCCCTTCCTACTTATTCTCTAGTTTTTGCTTTATCCCATCAGAACAATATGTGATAGGGTTTTAATGCCATTCTTTTAGAATGGCAGTTCCATGTTAGGTTATAATTCTCTTTTTGTTTTGACATTCGTGGTTAATATTAGTTTCTTTTCTTGCCCAACTTGTGTTTTCTGTGAAATATTTTACTTGCTCCCCTACTAATCCTGGACCAAATAATTAGTTTGTACCCAATATCACATGAGGGGGGAAGTTGTTTCATTTTGCTAACTTGGTGAAGAGTTAGTTACACATTTTGGTTATATACCAATACAGTGAATGGAAGAACAGAAATGATTCAACTTCCATTAACGAGAGGGTAATCTTCTGATTGGAATAATTTTTTTTAAGCCATCACAAATATTCACCAATTTCTAGTAAAATATCAGTTCCAGTGCCTTGGGTCGATTATTTTTAAAAAAAATTATACCATGACAGTTTGTAGGTATTTTATACTCCCTCCGTCCCATTTTATATGATGTACTTTGATTTGGCACAAACTTTAAGAAAAATGGAAAGACTTTTAAAACTTGTGGTCCAAAATGAATGATAGAAATTTGTGTGGTTGTAAATCATTTCATTAAGGGTAAAAAAGACATTTTATAGGCAAATTGTTACTTAAAATAGAAATGTGTCATTCTTTTTGGGACTGACTAAAAAGGAAAGTGAGTCATATAAATTGGGACAGAGGGAGTAATATATAATCAAAATTAGGCTTTGATTGATTTCTCTTTGGAATCGTTCGCTTCAATTAACTTTCAGTTTTTCTTTTTATTTTAAAAATATCACCTCAAAATATATTTCTTTCACAAATATGTTTTTGAAGAAGCACTTTAATTCTTCACCAAAAAGACAAGCATGTAAAACATTGTTGCTATATTGTTTGATATTAAATATTTAATAGGAATCAAGAATGTAAAACATATTTCTTTCACAAAGATGTTTTTGAAGAAACACTCTAATTCTTTATCAAAAAGACAAGCATGTAAAACATTGTTGTTGTATTGTTTGATATTAAATATTTAATAGGAATCAAGAATGTAAAACATTGTTGCCGTATTGTTTGATATTAAATATTTAATAGGAATGTTTGGATAGGTTTTGTTGTATTGTTCGATAGAGTATCTATTAAAATATCTTTTAATTTTAAACCTAATTAAGTAAAGGCTAATAATTAAAGCACAAAGACCCAAAATCATTTAGTCACCAGAGACATAAGACCTAAGTTATATTTATGTTTGAAAAATGTCATAAATTATATTTGTATATTAAATTTAACATATTGTTAACATATAAAATATATTTACATACATGTAACGTTATTCGGTTTGATTTTTTCATAAATTAAAAAGACTCCCAATTGTTCGGGACGGTTATACACTTATATAAAAAGTTCACAATTTTATTGAAAAAATAGCATAAATTGATTCGATTTGATTAGGTTTGATCAGTTTTTCATATTCTTTTGACACCCTTACCAGTGACGGTTGGTAAGTGCAACATAGATTTTCTTTTCTACTTTAACATTCAACTAGTAAGATTCAAATACATGTACGCTTATCACACATCGCATCAATGTTAAACACAAACCCAAAGACCCTCCTCAAGCCACCCATTTGGCTTTGAGCCAGATAATAACACTGCAATTTCCTGCTTGTGGTCTGAATAGTATATTATAACCAAGACGACGTTTTGTTTGGTTCTAAATGCAACATTATGGTGTGTACCAAGAAGCACAACAGCTATCACTCAATAGAAACTCGATATCAATTCATCTCATAGAAATAAATCACAAAACAACTATTCAAAAAAGAATAATAAACCATGAAGATGTCGAATTTAACATGGAGAAAATGGAAAGAGCAAACATAATGTTATATGTTCATGGAATCAGCCAACTATGATTCCCAGAAAACAACTCCCAAATTAGGTGTCCTCAACTCTTGAATGAAAGACAAAGCTTGGAAACGTTGTAGTAATGTCCCTGTTTAGAGGAGGAAGATATTTGAGCAAATGAATTAATACTACGAAAAAACAATAACTACCGAAACATGTTAATATTTCATGTGTCACTTACTTGAGATATTGGAGGGTCATATTCTTCAAAAGTGAAGGATGTCGCAACACTAAGTTTCTCCATTCCTCCTTATCAATCTTTCCGTCATGCTTCGTATCGGCTTCTTCAAAAGTCTGATAAAACAAGGAGACATTAGTTAATCATAAAAAGGTTCAGTCACTTCTTTTTAATTTCAGAATGGCAACATAGTTCCATGACAATACTTTTATCTATATGAGGAGAACGGGTCGGGAAGATGAAATGTGAGCACGAGTTTGTCCCAATGCATTTGCAGACATGTAATTAACTAAATATAGAAAACAAAAGTCAAATAAGTGAGCAATCTTGTAATTTCAGCATCGAGCCTGCACGACAACTAAATGCATCTAGTTCCTTCCTTAATTTCACACAAAATTAGACTCAAAGCCTGAAACGTTTCATAGGATAGCAGTGATGATAAGACAACAAATTCTGAGCAGCAGCACCAGAGCAGTAAAATAAGAAAAAATGCTATAAGATTATGGTACCCTCGGGGGATTGAAAGCGTAGACTTCACCTTAGGTCCAAGACAAATTCCAAACCATCATAAACTTAGCAACATAGATAGATAGGCAGAAGACCAAGAGGTGAATCACTATTGTTATGTATGACTTATACAACATGCAGAAACAAGTACTTTTTAGGTTGATGAAGCACCTTGTCAATTATGCTCTCTATCACATCGTCAGAGAGGTTCATACCAGACTCCGCAAGAGTAGCCACCACCATTTGTTTTACCTGCACTCAGAAGCCACGTCTTTTATCTTATCAAAAAGCACACAAACAAGTAATGATGGTTAATAAAGCTCAAAAAGAGACATCAATGAGGTTTCATAATTAGAACCACTCAAACCGGGACATTATTAAGCAGGACAAGAGAATATGAAACATTCAACATATTATGGCAACCAGTACTTGAGAAGGCTAAAATGTTAGATAAAGGCTATGCTTTAATGAGTAAACTACTAACGGAATAGTTGTCGGAAGTTTTAGAAAAAACAGAAAAATGGTAAATAGAGAAGTAAATCAGATTAATCTGAAATATGGCACAAAAAGGACTAGAAATTTGACTCGCCCAATGCAAGACCTAGAAGATGCCTGTTAAAAGGTACATTCATCATCCTAAAAGCCCTAAACGCAAACCCCTTGGTGGAGCTTTACCCACCTGGACACAGACAGTTTAATGTCTTTTGCCTTGCCTCAAGAGGCCATTCAACTACTTCAACAAAGACTTTCAAGATTGGGGACATTTGATCGCTTTCACTTATTGAGGTTTATAATTACCTCTTGTCTCTCAATAAAACCTTGTTGCTTGAGATCATATAGCTGAAAAGAAACTGCAATAGTAGTAAACCATTAGAAGCAGTCGAGACCAACTAAAGTTAATAGTCATGACTCATTAATGCAAACATAAAACGTACACTCAATCTTGTCATCGATAGGTGCATTTGGATGGAAAACAGAGAGTGCACGAGCAAATTCCTCGAATCCCAAGATTCCGTTGTGTTTTGTGTCAAACAAGTCAAACACCTACAATTAGATAGGTCAGAGTGGGGGAAATAAAGATGACTCCATCTGATGTGTCTTCTCAACCTTCCAGACCAATAATAGAAATGTTAAAAATGACAAGGTTCCTGGAATTTAGGCGATAAACTAGAAGGTAAGCACATTTTGTAGGGAGAGAAAAAAATAAAAAGAAAATAAATGCAATAACAACACATAAAACTAGCATAACCTGCAAAATTTACTCAAAATTCAAAATCCACATGTCCTAAAGACATTCCTGAATATTTGAAATCACATTTGGACCATATTAATATAAAAACGTTCATGAAATCACAATTGGACCATATTAATACATAAACCTATTCATCCTCATGATTGATTAAAACATACACAACTTCATCATTATATAGATCTTTATTATCTGCTTCTGTCTCTTCACCTTCTTTACGATCTAGTAGATTCTGAAGTGCTTGATGACCTTTCTATTCTCTTTGAACTTGAACTGTCTTAAACTATGAAAGAATTCCAACTCCACTTGCCTTAATAAAATATCCCTAAGTCGATCCAAATACGCCATCAAATACTTATCCATATTCATGGAATTCCAATTGTCATTCATTAGCTCCACCAATTTTGTCCAAAAAATTGGACAAGCAAATTTAGCAGCCTTTACAGTGACATCTTAAATTTTTATTGTAAAATCACAGAGTTGCTTCATCTTGAACTAGTTTGTAGGAAAAATGAGTAAAATATCTTTAATACAATTGTTCACGCATGATCTCGTAATACAAATAACGTACTACTTATATGTTCAACTCAAAGCAATTTCTCTCACATTCGAGTGAACTATAAGTAAGCTTATAACTTCTTTATTATATCAATAATGTTTGGATCAACTTGTGCGTACCTCAACTATTCCATTGAGTACCATGTTACATTCCATCACCACCACCATAGGTACCAAGTAACTCTATCCAAAACTTTTGCAAATGAAGAGCAGAAGAGCTATACTACGACCAATGGCGTAGCCAGAAATTTTATCGAGGGCGTCCAAATTTTAGAAAGTCAATGAAAAGAATCAAAGAATGAGTTCACAAAAAATTTAAGTCCACCTACGCAATATTTAGCTAAATCATTTAAAAAATTATAATAGGGCTACAATTTTATAATTAAAGCTAACATAAGAAGTTAACAAAAAAAATTCTACTATAAACATCTTATCCAATATATCATCACAATTTTTTTCATTATTTTTTAAAATCATAGACTCATAAGTAATAATATAAAAAACTTTTCTTTCTATATATAAGACCCTTTTAAAAATCATCACTACTTCGATTTTGTAAACTTATGATGGCACATGGCAGTAGACACAAAGGGACGGATGGAGACAGACTAGCAATTGTCGAAGAGTAGAAAGATAGAAACCTAGAATCAAATGAAAGAGAATCGTGAGAATTTGTAATATATAAAGAACTTTTTGTTAAAGAAAATTTTGTAAATTTGGATTTTTAAACTTTAAGATTTCTTTAGTAATATTTTTAATAAAACATATTGTAAAAATTAATTATTTATTTTTACATAATTTCTGAAAGTTATTTCTTAAGAAATTCTTAAATTTTGAAAAGAAAAGTTAAAAATGTTCCCTTATTGCATCAATAAAGGTAGACTCAACTTTCCTTTTTTTAGTTTAAAATAGGTAATGCGCGGATGAAAAGTAAAATGGGATTCGATCCCGCGACTCGGAACTCCAAGCGAGCAGGCTTTACCGCTAGACCGTGCCTCTCAGATCTATCAAGGGTGTCCAAATCAAAAGAATATATTTAATTAAAACAGCGTTTGAGCTATATACATTGTATAATTTTCTTACGAAGGGTGTCCAATTGGACACCTTGAAAACATTGTAGCTCCGCCACTGACTACGACTACCATTGGACATCCAATATTAAAGCATATAAGGTAAAAATAGAATTTTAAAGGATAAAACTGAAATTGATAACCTAGATATATTCATTCCCATGAGACTTTAAAAATTCTTAAACCTCGTTTCCCTCCTGCTTCCTTCGCAAACCTTCAATTATTATACTTTTAAAAGTGAATACCTTTGTAAAACCATGTCAGTTTCCTTTTAAATAATAATTAAAGTTAATCTTGCTGGGCCCTACCAAATCACATTTCTATACCTCATCATATTCGACAGTAATGGAAATTTTTGCATGCACTTTGACAGCCAGACCAAAAACTTCATTGATGAATGCCATCAAAATCTAATTTATTCTATGTGCTGCATGTGAAGGGAGTACAATAAGCATGGGTGTACTTCCTCCATCATATTCCCTTACTTAAAGAGGATGAGCAACTTAGCTGATCTGTTAGACGAGAACAGCTTCAGCTGTATAGCAATAATAAGATACAGACAATAGATCTAATTTTCGGCGAGTAACGGACTCTTATGAAATTCGATTAAATCGGGATTACATTTAAAGGTCTAATAGCAGTTAGGGAGAACGTACCCGGTCAGCAAACAAGCTTTCCTTTTTATTTGTCTTGAAAAGTGCCAATTGAAACTCTTCCTGCAAGATAAGATACAAACTCAAAATCCAAAAGAACAGTGGAAGATAAATACATATTAAGCATCCATGCCAGGAAGAGACCACGTAGGTAGTTCTTTTTCAATGACAATGGATTGCTAGAGCTCTGATGCTAGTATACTAGATTGTTCTTAGGAAACCAAGTGAAACAAACCTTGTTGATTAAACCATCATCAATCACTGCACTGCTTATCTTCTTAAAGAGCTCGTAAAGAGCTTCAATCTCGCTGACGCTAACTGCAACGAGAAAGAAGATTATGTAGGCTCAGTTATAGTACTTTTACTAGTGCAAAAACCACGTGACACTAACAACCTATGGGTTATAGTAGTTTCAAATGCTTTACGACAATAACAACATAGCAAATTCTGATTATAGATCAAATTAGTATTCAGACGGTTTTTTGAAAGATACATAATCTCAAATGTTAGAATATCAATGTATTACAATCTAAACAACTTAATGACCGTAAATTCTGTGAGGATGGGTTATAGTAGTTTCAAATGCTTTACGACAATAACAACATAGCAAATTCTGATTATAGATCAAATTAGTATTGAGACGGTTTTTCGAAAGATACATAGTCTCAAATGTTAGAATATCAATGTATAACAATCTAAACAACTTAATGACCGTAAATTCTGTGAGGAATTTCCTTTGGAAGGGAATGGTATCAAACATTTTGATACATCCCGATATGGGAAGAACGTCTTATAAATTGGGTCAAAAGGTGCATATGCTATCCGTTTTCATAGAACCGTAATAAGCTTTAAAATGATGGTACAAATCATGGAAATAGAACCATTAAGAAAAGGAAAAAGCTCAGAACCAGTTTGACTTTGCTTTTGTTATTTTCCATAATCATTTTATGTTTCTAGGAAAAAATCACAAAATGTCCAAGTAGCATACAAACTGTCTCTCGTGCAAGTATCTCAGGATCGTCGAGGCCCCCCGATTGCTTAAAATCAAGATCGCAACACCTCGAAAGGTAAGAACCTAAGAACTGCAGCATGGTAACGTCTCAGATTCAAAACACTCCATATCTGTTCAACAAGAATGGCAGAAGACGAAGTCAAAAATCTATTTTAATTGGATCATTTGTATCAAAGAAACGTCTCTCGGACATGAAAAAAACAAAACTAACCTTTCGACCATTCTCTGTTATGTCTATTTATGAATCCAAAATACTGAAAGTTTCTGAAACCTATCTATATGCAGCTATATATCTGCCATATCAACATGTCAATACACAATTTAGTTCCATAAATATCTACTGAAACTAATAAAAGAAGCACTAAAACATGCCGTCTAATTCCGTCAACATGGTCAACAAATCTTTCAACGTAAATCTCATTATTGATTATCCTCTTCTCATGCAGTTTCAATCCCGCCAATTTATCACCATAACTTAACGTATCTCTTCAACCTCACCGATTGCATCATTCGAACAAAAATAAAAAAGTTGCAACTTTTTCTTCTTCTACAACTAATTACACTATAACCCCAGTCCCCCATTCCACAAATTGACTTATAATTCATAGATTTCAGGTTCAACATCAATGTACAAACTTAACAATAACACTAAACCTCAAAGACCACACAACGCCAAAAGATCATTCTTTTATTAATAAAAATGAAACGAAGTCACCTCGATACAAACTCAACAATAACACTAAACCTCAAAGACCACACAACAGCAAAAGATCATTCTTTTATTAATAAAAATGAAACGAACAGTCACCTCGATGATTAATTCAAAAGTGAGAACTTGCTAAAAAACCTTGGCTAATCTGTTCACGCCATTTTCACATTCCTTTCTGCAGGGCGATCGGAATTGAATTCTTTAAAAATTGAATCTTTATATCTAAACTCAAATTTAGCTTAAATTTCGAAACTTTACTTATATAAACAACAAAATTATACAAACCCCACATTAAATTACACAAAAACAGACTTGTATATCACATAAAAATTCAATTAGATCAAACAGTTCGATTTGATTAACAAACAGATCTAATAATTACAAAAAATTAACATGAGAATCAAAAAGGGAAACAAAAAAAAAAACTTACGTTTATGAATAAATGGAGATTTAATTTGAGATGATTGCAAAATCAGAGATGAATTTTTGGGGCAGGAGAAGAAGGAAGCTCCTTACCCTTTTTTTTTTTGGTTTTTTGTAATTTGCAATAAGTTGTGTCCTTGTCGGAACTATAAATTATATTTTATGGGTCTCTGATGGTGCCCCAAATGTCTGATATTAGGCCCACCCATGTTTGCCAGCTGTCAAATGCATACATGTTACTCCCTCCGTCCCATTTTATATGATGTACTTTGATTTGGCACAAACTTTAAGAAAAATGGAAAGACTTTTAAAACTTGTGGTCCAAAATGAATGATAGAAATTTGTGTGGTTGTAAATCATTTCATTAAGGGTAAAAAAGACATTTTATAGGCAAATTGTTACTTAAAATAGAAATGTGTCATTCTTTTTGGGACTGACTAAAAAGGAAAGTAAGTCATATAAATTGGGACAGAGGGAGTACTGCTTTATATATTAGGAAACATTATGTGTTCATGGATTATTGTTTGCTCATTTGCTTAGATGGTATAAAAAATAGAAAAAAATTGATAATTTTCATAATTTGTGGATTTTTTATATTTATGAGAAAG